GGTCATGGTAGCAGCAGGGCATGATTATCTGTAATACTTTCAACAATGAAGATAAATTTTAAAAATAAAATAAAATAAATTCACTACTCTAAAATAATAAAAATTAAAATAAATAAAAAATAGTGTCTCATCCTCCAAGGCCTCTTTCTATAGAAGGATAGCATGGATTTTATTTTATGGGGTTTTGAGCTTTTCTTCTCAATAAAACAGTTCAAGACCTCTTAAGGCCTGGGCACAGAAGTCCCAGAATGCTATTTCTCCCACATTTTACTGGCAAAAAAGAACTTAAAACCAGCCCAGATACAAAGATTGAAAAAATACATTCCATATCTTGATGGGAGAAGAAGCAAGCACATACATGAATGGAAATATTGTTTGCAGCCATATCTACAGAAAATCTACCATACTGATAACACTATGTTCTCTAGTTTCATTATGAATGCTGTGCATGGGTTTTGATTTTGCTATCTGGTTGTTCTGTCTATTTGCATATTGGCATGAAGAGAGATTTAATAACTGCTCCACCGCCTTGGCTGGTTTGGCTAAGTGGTTAGAGAATCAGCCTGCGGACCGAAGGGTCTTGGATTCTATTCCTGGTCAAGGACACATACCTCAGTTATGTTTCCATTCCAGTCAGGCTCAGGGAGCATGGGGAAGGCAATCAATGATGTGGCTCTCATGTTAATGTTTCTCTCCCCGCCGTCCCTCCACACTCTCTAAAAGAGTCAATGGGAAAGAAATATTCTTGGGTGAAGATTTAAAAAAAAAAAAAGCTCCACTAACTTGGCCAGTGTTGTTCAGTGGTTAGAGGATTGGCCCACACACCCAAGGGTCACAGGTTCCATCCCTGCTCTGGTCTCCCAGGAGACAACCGATCAAGTGAGGATTAACAAAACAAACAAAACAAAACAAAAAACTGCCCTGCTGCTACCAGGTTACCAGCATTCCTTCTAATTTTTAAAAATTTGCCCAGAAATTTACAGAAATTTTGGGTGAGGGTAGAATGAAGAAGTAGAAACATTTTAAATGTTTCATTTTCCCTAGAAATTAGCAGTAAATGCAAATAACACATTTGTGTATGTGTACGTGTGTTTAACCTACCAATTGAAATAATTTGAATCATGTTTATAAGTAATGGAAGAATAATCACCAGCAGAATTGATAAGCAGAGTTGAACTAACAAATTACTAATAGAGGGAGAATAAACAGAAACTTAACAGATTCAGCAAACATAAGGAAATTGAAAAGGAATAAACAACAAAGTAGAAAAGGGGAAACAGTTCTTGATGGAAGCCACAAAATCAGGCATATCATTAACAAATAAAATGCATTGGGTTCTCCTATAACAGACTGTGAAATTAGGTTAAAAACAAAAGCTGTGTGGCCGTGGCTGGTGTGGCTCAGTTGATTTAGCATCGTATCATGCACCAAAAGGTCTCCAGTTCAATTCCCGGATTCCCAGTCAGGGCACATGCCCAGGTTTCGGGCTGGATCCCCAGTAGTGGGCCTGCAGGAGGCAGCCTATGGATGTTTCCTTCTTCTCCCTCTCCCCTCCTCTCTCTCTAAAATCAATAAAAACATTTTTTAAAAACGGTGTGTTGTTTACTAAAAGCACATTTAAAATAAAGAGCCAATACTGAACCCTATGTAAGGATACAGCAGGTAAATTCAAGTAGAACAAAAGCAGGTCTGACGATATAATTATCAAGCTAAAATCCAAGGCTCCTGAACTCTGATTGCCCCCAAGCCTGAGAAAGCACACCAAAAAATGTGGAAGGTGCCCCCCTTCTCACCTTTTCCTGAGAATGAGCTGACCAGTCAGACCCCACTGGTCATTTCCCTGCTTGTGCAGCTTCTCCACAGATTCTGTTTATCTCAGCTTGCCTTCTCCTTACCCTGGCTATAAAAGAAAGATCCTTTTTCTGTTTGGTTATGAGATGCTTGCAGATTTCTGAGATGGGAGCTTTATCCCTATTGCAATACTCTTCCTTTCTAATTAGTCTCTTCTTATATACATCCTGATTTGTTTTTATTTGACACAGCAAAACCAAAGCTTGACCTTGACCTCATGCTACACACCAGAGTAAATTCCAGCTAAATTAAAAGTTCAAGTAAAAAAAAGAAAAAAGAAAAAAGAAAAAAATGCTAAGACTATCTTTTTAGGGTGAAGAGATTGAGAAGTACAGATTGGTAGTTACAAACTAGTCATAGGTATGTAAAGTACAACATAGGGAACATAGTTGATAATATTGTAATAACTATGTATGTTGCCAGCTGGATACTGGACATATCAGGGTGAACACTTTGTAAAGTATATGATTGTCTAACCACTATGCTGTACACCTGAAACTAATAAATAATATTGACTGGAAACTAATTGGAAAATTTTTTAATTTTTAAAAATAATAAAGTGAAATGCACGCACACACACAAATAAAATAAGATTTACTTAATGGGCTACAGGTAAACTATGTGATATTTATTAAAGTGGACTTTTAGCCCTAGCAGGTTTGCTCAGTGGTTAGAGCATCAGCCCAAGGACTAAAGGGTCCAGGGTTTGATCCCTGCCAAGGGCATGTACCTCGGTTGCAGGCTCCACTCCGGTCAGGCAAGAGTGGGAGGCAACCAATCAATGTGTCTCTCTCACATTGATGTTTCTCTCTCTCTCTCTCTCTGAAAGCTAATGGAAAAAAATATCCTCAGGTGGGGATTTAAAAATTTTTTTTAAATAAATAAAATGGATTTTTACTGCATCCTTTAAAAAAAAGATTATCTTTTTAAGACTACCTGGAATGAGGAAGGAAGACCTTGCAAGACAGGAGATATAGAAGTGAGAAAAGAAAGCTTAGGCTTTTCTTTTTTCTTTTTTTAATCCTCACCCGAGGATATTTTTTCCATTGCTTTTCAGAAAGAATGGAAGGGGGAGAGAGAGAGAAACATCAATGTGAGAGAGACGCATCAATTGGTTGCCTCTTGCAGGAGCCCCGACCAAGGCTGGGATTGAGCCTGCAACCGAGGTAATGTGCCCTTTATTCCAGGGGCTGATGCTCTAACCACTAAGCAAAACCGTCTAGGGCTGAAAGCTTAGACTTTTCTGATGAGAGAATATGTATTTTCTAATTATAAATCAAAGGACACATAAAATGCAAAGGGCAAAAAGAGTTAGAGGGGAAATACTGCAATGCAACTCACAAAGGGTTAATATCCCTATCGTACAAAGAACTTCTACAAATTAATAAGAAAAAGACAAATCACTCCAAAGAAAATTGGACAAAGGATTTGAAGACTGGCAGAAGAGAAAATAGAAATGGTCAACAAACAGAAAAATATGCTCAGTTGCACAAGTAGTTAGGAAAATGCAAATTAAAGCAGTTCAATGCTACTAGTCTTCAGACTGGCAAAAATTAAAGCATGGACATCCACCGCAAGAGATTTGCCTTAATAAATTCATATTTTGCTGGCGAGAGTAGGAAATGTTAGACTTTTGGGGAAGTGATTTGGCTGTAAGTATTTTTTTATTGATTGCAGAGAGAGGGGAAAGGAGAGGGAGAGATAGAAACATAAATGATGAGAAAGAGTCATTGATTGGCCACCTCCTGCAGGCCCCTGCTGAGGATGGAGCCAGCAACGCAGGCATGTGCCCTGACTGGGAATGCAACCAAGATCTCCTGGATCATAGGTCGATGCTCAACCACTGAGCAACACTGGCTGGGTAATACACAGTCTTTTTAATCAAGAGGTGACACATTTTTAAAAACTGGGCCCATACTTTTTTTTTCACTTTATTTTTGTTGTTGACACTATTACAGATGTCCCCATTTCCCCACACACACGTTTGCCCACCTCCACCCAGCCCCTGTTCACCCTTCCCTTTGGCTATCACCATACTGCTGTCTGTGTCTATGGGTTATGCATATATGTTCTTTAGCTAATCCCTTCACCTTTTTTCATCCAGTTCCCCCTCCCCCCTCCTCCCTCCCCTCTGACAACTGTCAGCCTGTTACATGTATCCATGTCTCTGTACTTCAGCCTTAAGGCAAATTTCAACAAATTTCAAAGACTCAACATCATTCAGACAACGTTCTCAGACTACAGTGCAAATAGGATAGAAGTCACTAACTTCAGATTAACTGTGTGTTTGGGGAAATGGAAAATTGTGTAAGGAACTGTAAAATGTTCTGCACTTCTTAATTCTTTCTTTGAGTCATTAATTTTGAGAACAGGATGCTGCGGACTAAGGTGACCCAAATCATAAACTGCTCCTTTCGGCTGCATTTCAATACCTGCAGATCAAAGCCCACCAAACGTGCAGCTGGCACACGGTGCTTTTTTGTTTCCTTCCCCTATAAAACTCCTCTCCCATACAAAATTCTCCATGCTCCAGGAGTCACCGTGCTGGGTTCTTCTCCCTGTCTCACCTGCCTAAATAGAGTACCGATTCCCTTGCCATTTGGGGCTCAAAGCATTTTTGAAAGTTCAACAATGGATTTCTAAATAATTTCTGGGTCAAAAGGAGAAGTTACAAATGGGCACTTGAAATTAAACACTAATGAAATCAAAACTTGGATCTTTAGAATTTTAGCATTAATATTTATGCAAGGAAACCAGAAAGGTCGCTTATTCGGTTTTTAGATACTGGAAGATATGCCCCAGCACAGATGTCACAGACCTCCCAGTGACTCCTTGCACAGATACTTGGTGTCTGGCGCTTCATCATCTCAGCTCCCCGACCCCCGAGTGGTTAAACTCCCGCTGCCGGCGACTTCCGCTTCCTGGCCTAAATCTGACACGTACTATTCCCCGGGTGGCAACGACCCAAGGCCGGTGACAGCAAAGGAGTTGGAGGATGCTCTCAGCCGAAGGGTGTACAGAGGCGCCATCAGGTGGGCACGAAGCGGGGCCCCGGGCTCTGCGTCCGCCAGCCGCCGGCGCCGAAAGGGGACCTTTCAGCCCCCGGAGCAGTGGGACCCGGGCGAGGGCCGGACCAATTTCTGGGCCGGCTGCTCTTAGGAATCTGCAGTTGGGATGGGGGCGGGGACTGGCTACCAGTTAGCAGCCGCGGGCCCCTAGGGTACAGCGGAGTGCCAGCCCTTGTGTGCTGAAAAGGGACTGCGCCCTGCCTGAGCCTAGCCGGCTGCTGGGGACAGTGCACTGGGAGAAGCCCGGTTGGCACAGCCCCATTGGTTACCGGGAAGTACCACGG